TGTATATTTTCTATAGCAAAATTAAAACGTGTTTAAAAGTGCGACTGACCAAATCGTCCGGTTCGGTTTGCCACCCCTCGAACTCGAAGACATCTCTAATTTGACAGTTTACCATCTGATCTCACTCAGTGATTCCCCCCCTTAGCGACCCCCCCCCCATCGATACATACTATTGTGCAGATAGAGCATGAAAAGAACAGAACATTAAATATAAATCACAAGACCTAAAAGAATGCAGAAAAATTAAATAACTGTGCAATTGTTTAAATACACTGAAATTAAATCCAATAATATTCGACATTAACTAAATTTGTGGGGGTGGGGACTTAACCCTTACACTGAGCATTGTCACATAACATCATTTTAACTGTAATGTTTAACATCGGCTCAATGGTGTATGCAGATTATATGAAATTTCAATGTAAAGCCAAACCGTTTCAAGCATAAGAAAAAATTATTGGCAGCATTTTACTGTTACTCGTAGTGTAATTCAAGTATTGTGAAACTGCAGCTTCATGCTAACGCAAAATAAATATGATCTGCATTCTTCTGATTTCCATTTTTCCGCGCTTACACTTTTGGCACGTTGATTTCGCTAAAATTCCCCCCCTCCTCCTGATTTCCATTTTTCCGCGCTTACACTTTTGGCACGTTGTTTTCGCTAAAATACGGTCAAAAGTACTGCAAGCCTGTGAACAGTGATTTGCAAGCGAAAACAACAGTTTAAAGAACTGCAAAACGGCTTGACTTCCAATCTGTATGTGTAAAAAAACGAACTGTTGCAAATGTCTAAATGACTTGTGGGGCAAAAAGTTCCCGAAATAAATCGATATGTACAGCAGCTCCGTCTTTCTTTTCTCTGCGCTTACAATTTTGGCAGATTCTCTGAGATTGCGGGTCTGCAGCTGGATACTATTGGAGCCAGCGGTAAATTCCAGAAGATCTCGCCGCGGTGAGGCGCTCTCGTATGGGCTTACATTTCTGCCACAATTCTGCGCGCGAAAGATCATATTTTGAGCGCACAAAAGTGCGTTTTGCACGCGCGCGAACTGAGTTTTGTAACGCTGGGTTGTGTTGAGCACGCCAGCTGTTGGCATTTAGCGAGCACTGAAGGGGGCATCAGGTGAGCAAGCTAGTGAAACGTTGCACACGCAACATCTGGCCGCGGTGAGGCGCTCTCGGCGGGTGTAATGAGCGCTGAACGGCCGCTGGAACTCACGTCTCCGAAAACGCCAAAGCAAATTTTCAAACAGACGTTATCTTTATTAACAAACCGCATATCTGACGTCCAAGCAAGCACATTCTTGCCTAAAAAACTCTTAAAACTGCATTTCGTGACACAAAACAGTATTTGGGCGTCCGCCATGACACTCGCTGTGAGAAGAAATACAGCAACTTCGGCAAGCGGAGTGATACTAACGGTGAAGAGGTCGAGGAGCTCTGTTGGACTCTAATATCGCACTCCTATCAGCCAATCAGATTCGAGAACCAGAAAGAACTGTTTTATATATATATATATATATATATTGTCA